GAAGTCGGGCATACCTGACAAGCTGGTTACCATTATCAGCTCATTTCATACCTCTGTGTCTGCAAACCTGTCGATCCCGGGCATCGAGGCCGAGCCTATTGAGGTGCAAAATGGCCTTCGACAAGGTTGTTGTATGGCCCCAGTATTGTTCAATATATTCATGTGGGCAGTATTCCAGCTGTGGCAGCGTGAGGTTGCGGACATACCTGAGATTGGACTTCCCGTCTCCTCTAACTCTGGACCGTCTCTCCTTTTCAAACGCCAGAAGACTGACACAATCAACATCCATCGTGACTGTCAATTCGCAGACGATTCAGCACTTATTGCTACAACTCACCATGGTGCCACACTTGCGCTCAGCCGGTTCATGGACGTCGCAACTCGCTTCGGCCTCACCATCAACCTATCAAAAACCAAAGTAATGGCGGTCGGCTTCGGCATTTCTCCGGAGGATCGTCGTCCATTGGTGGTTGGCGGGGAAATTGTCGAGAATGTGCATGACTTTCGCTACCTGGGCTCCATCATCCATACTGGTGGCCGCACCGCAGTGGACACTCGGTCCCGAATAGCGTCAGCATCTAGGGCATTCGGAGCATTGCGTCGATCTGTCTTTGATGATGGCGATCTTTCACTGGCAATGAAGCGAATGGTGTATGATGCATGCGTGGCTTCTCTTCTCCTTTACGGAGCGGAGTGTTGGGTACCACTGAAAAGCGAGCTTGCGGCGCTGTCCGCCTTCCATCTTCGCTGCATTTCCGCAATCTTAGCCCTCGGTAGAAGAGACACCTGGGACTTCCACATCAACAGGAAGACCATTCTGGAGGCCTGGAATCGTCGAGATCCTGTGGATATTACCACACGTGTTCTTCGCCGCCGTCTGGAGTGGCTAGGCCATCTAGCTAGGATGGACGGCGATAGAACTCCGCGCCAGCTCCTGTTTGGTGCGCTCCTTCCGCCGAGGCCGGCTTGCGGTCCTCGGAAACGGTGGCGAGACTCTGTCAGAGCTGACCTCTCCGCAGTGAACATCGACCACACGGAATGGTACGACCTCGCCCAGGAGCGTGGGAAATGGCGCAGTGCGTATTCCGCTCAACCAGTACTGCGATCGGCTCAGCGTGACACTTCTGTGCTCTGCGATGTTTGCCAGCGTACTTTCGCCCACCAGAAATACAAGAATCGCCACAAGTGCCTGGCCGAGAGGAGGAAGCCCATATCTGAGCAGTCCGGCAGCCGACTATGTAATGCGTGCGGGAGATGGTTCTTGAGTGCTGGCGGGCTAGCTTCGCATAAGTGTCTCTCCAACTTGGCTGCTGAAGTGGCGTCGGTCTCGGCTGTGGCATCGGCAGACTCGGTCCGGAAACAGCGGGTTGCCCTGCCCTGCTGCAGAGCGCATTGTCTCGGCTGCGGTCGCTGCTGCAAGTCATCCCGTGGTTTCGACCTGCATAGCTGTGCTAATTTCCTGTCCAGGAAGTAGAGCGGCGTTTCTGGATCCAATGCTGAACTCAGTGCTGTCGACCCCTGCACAGGGGACACGTGACCATTTGATGGCAGTGTTACCAAGGACCAAGGTGTGTGTGTGTGTGCACATATGTGCTTGCGTGTGTGCATACGTGTCCGCATGCGTTGATGTGTTTTCATCAGGTGTGTGTGTGATGGGGGGGGGGGGGGGGGGGAGGAAGAAGAAGCATCTGCATGTGCTCCGTAGTAGAGGAATGGAACTATCGAGACATGGAGACATACGATAAAAACTTGCAAAATACGCTTTGTCAAGCATGCACGAGAAAAGTGTCGGTCTTCCCAAATTGTTTGTATTCATGAGGAGGGAAGAATGCAGTCAAATGGCCAGTAGGCAAGAAGATTGCATTGTTATTCGCGGGTAGTTGTTATGCCTGAGGTTGTTATTTACGACATAGACTAAACGCGATACTATTAATTTATTGTGTCCTGGTTCATTGTTTTCCTGATTCGGCTCACCACACCGTCGGCATAACTGCTATTCTTTTAATGGTTCCCTTTAGCAATCAAGACCAGCGAATTGAACTGAACTACAGTGCTGGCAAACCGAAATCCAACCCATGATTTTCAGTCCTTGAGTGCAGCACCGATTCTAGAGGTCTCTACACGTACTTCGTAGTGTTTCAATCCCATGCTGGGTGTTTGCGATGTGAGCGCACCGCTCCAGGGGTAGGATTTCAGTTGCCAGCACTATCTAATAGAGGTACGCCTCACCGGTAAGTATTCAGCCTCGCTGGCAGGACTCTGTGGACCCGATCCCCGTCCATACAGTGGATTAGACTGCAGCGGCATAGGTTGGCACACCCACATACACACCCACATACCCACCCACACACACCCACACACCCACATACACACCCACATACCCCCCCCCCCCCCCCACACACACACACAGACACACACACACATACACACACACATACACACACATACACACTCGCATAGGCATACACACATGCACAAAGGCAAAGGCGTACATACACGCACACAAATCCAAAAAGCCCCAACACAGGCATACGCACACAACAGTTCCCTGGTGAACGTCAGCACTCTTTTCCTTCAGCTATCAGCAACACAAACATCTCATATGAAGGGTTATCAAATAATCTCTGTGGAAACAGAATTTTCTGAGGGAAGGAGAAAGAGATGGAGAGAGAGAGAGAGAGAGAGAGAGAGAGAGAGAGAGAGAGAGATGAGAGAGAGAGAGATGAGAGAGAGAAGGGAGAGAGAGAGAGAGAAAGAGAGACAGAAAGGGAGACAGAGAGAGTGAGTGAGATGAGAGAGAGAGAAGAGAGAGAGAGAGACAGAGAAAGAGAGGGAGAGAGAGAGAGACAGAGACAGAGAGGGAGAGAGAGAGACAGAGATGTATCCAGATACAGTAACGGAATTATGTAAACGTTGATCGCCATCTGAGCCTCCTACAGTGCTGAAACAAGTTCACACTTCAATATCTGTATACAGTTGAACATCGATTATCCGACCACCTCTGGGCAGACAACTGTCAGGCGGTGTTCAGATAAGGCAAATGTTCCGGATAAGAAAAAACTGTCACTCACACACTTCCAGTGGTTATTACTAGCCGCACAACCTTTTTACTTTTTACTTTTCAAAATTTTCGTATTTTTTGAATGGCTCACTACATGCACAGTGCGTACTCTACGGCACGTGCGCCCAAAAAAACCTGTTACGGATAATCCAATGGTCGGATAGTCGATGTGCGGATAATCAATGTTCAACTGTAGTTAAAGCATGGAGAAGCCCAGCTAACCACGCAAACAACGAACACCTCAATCGTTCACAAGAAAAATGTCGGCAACCGCGAGCTGCTTTTACTCGTTAGATTAAACTGAGTGTGCAGGCTAATGATCACCAGGTCTGATAATTGTGTCGTTGTTCGCGATTTGCTGTTATACTCGAGGTCTCTATATACGAGGTTGACTAAACTCGAATATATTTCTTGTGATTAACTGCCCTCGTCCGTTCTTTTTCTGATTCGGCTAACCACACGGTTTGTCAAACACTGTCGCTACAGCCAGTTACTATTCGAGAGCAAACCCACACCCAGGGAAATGAGCTGTGCTATATCAGAGCACCTTGATCACTGTGGTCGGTGGCGTATCCGCAGATGCGGAAACCTCAGCCTGCCCAGATAAACCCTTCAGCTACCGTCACGTGTGTATGCGCAGCCCACAGAGCGCATTTTCAAACTTGACTTCGGTCACAAGAACAATCAAACTTTCCCTCGTCAGCCATGTCTATTCAAAATTGTTGGCTCTCTGGGCGGATAGGAGTCTCCTCTATCGATTCATTGTCCTCCAGACATGGCAGGCGCAACAGAGCTAGGACCATCCTCTTCGAAAGCCACTCCACCCAGCTCCGTCAGAAAGATAATCTACACTGGATACCAAGTCCTGTTAGATCAGCACTCATACTCAACGCAGATCTATCGTTTAACCTGGGAAAGCAGCACAATTTTCACCTTCAACAGGCTATAACTTTGGCCCCCTTCACTCCATTTCCACAGTCTTGGGCTTTTTGGAAGGCTCCTGGCGAGCGCAACGCCAGGATAACAGGCTCCATCAAAAATGTTCGCACAAACGAACAATTTGGTTTATATTGTACATGGGCCATGTCACAGGGAAATCCGCAGCCTGCCTGGATGTTTGGCACATGCAGCTCAGTGTCCCAGTGCTTAGAGAGACATTAAAAGCATCTTCTCACTTTGGCGCCACGGCAAACTTGGTCGTAACAATTTGATTTATCAAGCACCGCTGGACAGCTCTCTTTACCAGCTTTGCAACGAGCTGTCATTTGTGAAGATGCGATGCTTTACTGAGTTGCCTTATTGTGTATAGTTGTCTATCCAGTGCCTGTAGGCACTTCGTGAACAGCGCCGATATATCGGCGATTTCAAGTACGAGCGGCAGTGGAAAGGTCAAATGGGAGCTGTGAATAGTATTATATCAGAGGTAGGTCTCACCGGTAAGTATTCAGCCTCGCTGGCAGGACTCTGTGGACCCGATCCCCGTCCATACAGTGGATTAGACTACAGTGACATAGGTTTGCATGCACATCAACACACACATACATGTACACACATACACATGTATACACACATATGTGCACACACACATACACACCTCATACCTCAGACATGCCCATCGCGGAAGCGATGATAGCGAACAGCTTTGTTAGACATAGCAACTTGTGCTGGGATTACACCATTCAACAGCTTGCAAGGCTGATGAATTGACCGCCACTATTTTTACGCACAAACACCCGCATACACACAAAAGGTTCCCTGGTGAAAGATAGCACTCTATACGGGGAGGTAACAGCAACACAAACATCTGACATACAGGCTATCAAAATGGTCTGTGAACTCAGGAATTTATTGAGAGACAGAAGTGTATTTCTGAAGAGAGAGAGAGAGAGAGAGAGAGAGAGAGAGAGAGAGAGAGAGAGAGAGAGAGAGAGAGAGAGAGAGAGAGAGAGAGAGAGAGAGAGAGAGAGAGCGAGAGAGATAGACATAGAGATAGACAGAGAGGAGGTGGCTGAATGATGCACCACTAGGCTCACCGGTAGATATTCAGCATCAGTAGTACTAGTGCCCTGCAGTGAACCTCTACCATACAGTGGATTGGACTGTTAACACACCAACAAACCAGAACACTTCACTAGTTTGAGGGAAAGACACAAACGGGAAAAGTCTGAAGAAATTTTTTGACTGTCACCACCAGGACTCGAACCAGGGACCTTCGCTTGTAGCTAGCCATGCTGTAACCACTGAGCTATGGTGTAGTCGTCATCCCAGCAGAGACCGTTCAACATTTTCTTCAGACTTCGTAACTCACCCAGAACACAGCAGCAATTTGTGCCAATCTCTTCAAAAGTGTAGGGAAGTCTGCTGACTCAGATGTGAACAGAATAGACCACATTTAATGAGAGAATGAAGTAAGATGGCTGGTTAGGAAGCCACTTTGATCAGTTTGTTTGCAATGGGTGGACAGCGGTTTCTCTACCCGCACCACATTGGCGGAGGCAATCTAGAGCACACTATGAAAACATTGCACCAGTCAGTTTACAGGGTATCGGGGGGGGGGGGGGGGCAGCCTAGTTGAATAGTGTGTGCGGGCATCACTCACAGGAAGGTACTCTGCTTCATTGGCTGGACTCTGTATGCCTGATGTCGTTCCTCTGCCATACATTGGGTTAGACTGCAAGGCAATAGTAGGTACGACAATAGTAGGTAGGACAATAGTAGGTAGGATAATAGTGGGTAGGACAACAGTACGTAGGACAACAGTAGGTAGGACAATAGTAGGTAGGACAATAGTAGGTAGGATAATAGCAGGTAGGACAATAGTAGGTAGGACAATAGTAGGTAAGACAATAGCAGGCAGGACAATAGTAGGTAGGACAATAGTAGGTATGACAATAGTAGGCCGGGTAATAGTAGGTAGGACAACAGTAGGTACGACAATAGCAGGTAGGATAATAGTAGGTAGAACAATAGTAGGTGGGACAACAGTAGGTAGGACAGCAGTAGGTAGGACAATAGTAGGTAGGACAGCAGTAGGTAGGACAACAGTAGGTAGGACAATAGTAGGTATGACAATAGTAGGTAGGACAATAGTAGGTAGGATAATAGCAGGTAGGACAACAGTAGGTAGGACAACAGTAGGTAAGACAATAGTAGGTAGGACAATAGTAGGTAGGACAATAGTAGGTAGGACAATAGTAGGTATGACAATAGTAGGTATGACTATAGTAGGCCGGGTAATAGTAGGTAGGACAACAGTAGGTACGACAATAGTAGGTAGGATAATAGTAGGTAGAACAATAGTAGGTAGGACAATAGTAGGTAGGACAATAGTAGGTAAGACAATAGTAGGTAGGACAATAGTACGTAGGACAATTGTAGGTAGGACAATAGTAGGCAGGACAATAGTGGGTAGGACAATAGTAGGCAGGAGAATAGTAGGTACGACAATAGTAGGTAGGACAATAGTAGGTACGACAATAGTAGGTAGGACAACAGCAGGTACGACAACAGCAGCGACACACAGAACAAAAGCCATACACTACGTATACAGCACAGTAGCACTATTCCCCGGTCCTCACAGTTCCCTAGCGAACCGAGCTTCAAAGTTACCAGGAATGCAAAACGAGATCATCGCAGCTAGAGTTTCAAGTTATGCGATCACAAAGCAATAATTCTAGCGTTCAATCTCAATGAACAATAAACATACACATATGATAATAGCTCTTGGTTGACGATAGACAGATACGGTAAAACTGGAAATTTCGGCGGAGATTTATTTTCGGTAACTTCTGCACAGTTAATTTTTACTTAAAAAAAAACGTGACCCAACAATGCCATGCCACACAGTGTGCAAAATGAATTTTTGGATCTGGAAAACTGGTTTACCGAAATTTTCACGCTACCGAACCGTTGATGTTGCGGACTACCGAAAATATTACACCGCGGAAAATTCCCGGTTTTAAAGTAGAACAGGGGTAGAAACGTATTTCTCGCGAAATATTTTCAGTTGCAAATACGGCATCTGGTGTGTTCTTTGTTGTCGCTTCTTTTCCTGACTTCTTCAGTCAGTTTTGAGTCTCACCAGTGTCCCTGCCCTCCCACCCTTTATTTCTGTGCATATTATCAATGCTTTTTATCACTGTCTGCCGTGATGTGCTTGCCATGCCTACATGATGCGTAATCGCCATTGGGGATATACACCCGGTTTTTTCCCTGACAAATGCGTCCGTCGGCGCGAGGGTTTTTTCCCGGCTGGCTCGGTCCAGGAAAATTAATCTGACGGTCCCAAGTGGTTCTGCATCATGGCCTATTTCTGCTATCCACTGGCATGACTATTCTATCTGAGACACTCTGTTCTCAGTCCTTGCTTGCTTCCATACCTCACTCGTTATCCGGTTCACATCTGGCTGCGGCCAACTACCCTTCACTTTGTGTGTTGTCGCTATTGCTGTCTATGTCTCTGTGTATGCCAGTATATGTGGAGCGAGAAAGTGACGGAGACAGAGACAGGTGCACACGACCCATTGTCTCCCCGCACCAACCATCAATTTACTGTATAAATGTTACGTGAGACCCTTACTGGAGTATGCTGTCCCTGTTTGGCTGTTCGCCATGTCGTCTATGCAATCCTGCACATTGGATCGACTACAAGCTACTGCTGCCCGATCCTACCTCATGCGTAAGACCCGACAGCTTCCTACTTGGACAACATCCAAGAATATTCTGAATCATCTGTGTGAATGGGAATCGCTCCAATGGCGTCGTCAAATTCTCTCTCTAGTTTATTTTCATCATGTATTCTACCAATTTCCAGCACTACTGAGCCAGTTTAGTTTCACCATCTCCAGCAGCTGCCGCCACCCTTCCTCTATCGTTTTGCCTCGTTCTGGAACTCATTTCTTAAATCTCCTCTTTTCGGTTTATCAGTTCACGGTCTGGAACAAGCTTCCTGAGAGCCTACGCAGGGAGCCATCTCCTGCCAAGTTTCGGTTTCTCCTGAAGGACCATTATTTAACGTACAAATTCTCCACCATTGGAATTTCTGATTTTCGTATCTAGCTCTCGTCATGTATTCTGTTTCTCCCTGGTGGTTTTACCTGTAGTTTTCCCTGAGCAGTGTTTCTGCTAAGTACTATTTTCCCTTCTCCCTTTTCACTTCCCTTTCGTCTCATCCACCCTTCCAGGAAACTCCCCCGATAAGTATCCATTTACTTTTGGAGAATCCTTCAAATAAAGTCTAAATAAATAAAATTAATAAATAAATAAGGTGCGGAGAGTGCTGTCAAAGACGCAGGAATGGAGCCCTGGACGCTCAAACAGTATAAGACGTGTTCTGAGGACTTCCATCACTTTGACCTTTAATAAAAGTCTGATCGTATAGTACATAGTGCATTGACTTGACTTACTGGAATGTACTCTGCATCATCGACTGGACTCTGCACATTGTTTGATCCTCTGCCGTACAGTGGGTTGGACTGGAGAAAAATATCAGATAGGACAACAGTGAACCCACAGTATAGCCGGAAGCTTACAAAGGAACAACATTTGTCCGGTTGAAATACACAGTGTTTCGGGGAATTCACCCCTCATCAGTTGAGCTTGAGTAGGCTGAGGAAGATTGTGCCTGAAGAGCACCACTTATATAGTGCTCTCCAGGCACAAACATCACCAGGGATACAAACTTACAGAGACGCTCTGTTTCCAGCTTTTTTTTTAAAATACCTCAGTAATAACTTAGGACAGTGTATAATATTATTTTGTTCACTGTATGATCTGATAGAGGCAAACATGCACTGCAACAGCATTCACATAAAGGGTTAATAAGTTCAACGTGAACAGCAAGCCGAGTTTCTTGTTTGACATATACATATTCATGTGCTGGCCTGTAGTTGCAATGGCCATCTCTCTTTGATCTAGCGGAATGCCAAACTAGTAACACTCATAAAGCCGCTTCTGGGACAGGTACATCCCACCCCTAAAATGGGGTATTCTTGATAATACCTCATTTTCTGGCACCCAGTTTTTTACGGAAAAAAAGATTTTTGGGGATTCTATGTGGTCCGTGTGGTAGGATTGCATCTGCCCTAAACACACACACGCACGCACACACACACACGCACACACACACACACACACACACACACACACACACACACACACACAAACATACACACATGCATGCCCGCATGTACATACACATAACACATACACACACACACACACATACTTTCAACAAGTCCATGGAAAGTTTTCTTACCGGCAAGTATTCCCCCGTGTCTGTCGCCAAGTGACTCTCTTGGCCATGATTGGCTGTCGGCAGTGATCCCTACAGGGTAAATGTACCAAATAAGCCCATTGCACATTGCCACATACAGAAGGTATGAGTAATGCATGTGAGTACGCTGGGATCAGCAGTGCACTGTTCAACAACACCCTACACAACCATAGATCAGCAATACACTGGTCAACACCCCACACAACCATAGATCAGCAATGCACTGTTCAACACCCTACACAACCATAGATCTGCAATACACTGTTCAACAGCCCACACAACCATAGATCAGCTATGCACTGTTCAACACCCCACACAACCATAGATCAGCAATGTACTGTTCAACACCCCACATAACCATAGATCAGCAATGCACTGTTCAACACCCCACACACCCATGCCCACGAGGCTGTGCGGGGTATTTAAGGTACAAATTACGCTATTGCTCAATGGGCTCATTGAAGTGCCATCTTCTTTGCAGGCAGTATCCAAAGTAGGGGTGACGGAGAGATAACAGTAACCACGGCATTGACTGTACCACTCGTTGTGGAAGGTACACAGTGAATTAGAACACTGGTTTGAGCTCTACATTTGTGAAATGTTTCAACGGAGACTCCCGTGAGAAAAGTGTACTCCAGATGGTTCGCCATACCATGCCAGGTTGT